TTGTGAATTCTTGCCTTGGAGGTTTTTGAGGAGAGGGTGGAGAGGCCTCTGCCTGGGTTGGCTTAGGAACAATGAATCCTGCATCTGTGCAGGGTGTCAGACTGATGATCCCTGAGGTTCTTCCAACCCTGTAGTTTTAGGTCTGAGGAGCTCAGTTTCAGACTGGCATCTTCAAAGGGACACTGCACAGGCAGCTGCTGTGTGACAGGGTGTGCATGAGTGCAGACAGAGCCAATGTCCTTACAGTGCAGGGGCCCTCACCTACATAAGGCAAGAAGCATCCCTAGGTTGTCCTAGGAAGGCAATCCTGGGAAGCTGGCAGAGAGGGGAGGGGGCCTCCTGAGCCAAGGGCTATTTGGTAAGTCAGTGGCAGAGCTTAAGGACGGTGGCTAGGGAGCCCATGCTCCCATCCTCCATAGAGTCTCTAGATCACAATGCTTCCCCAGCCTGGCCCTACTCCCTTGGCAGTCATCCTCTCTTCCTACCCCAGAATACCCGCTCCCCCCCCCAAGCATATCCCAGCTAGCCTCTGGTATTCCTATTGCTTCAGAGAGCCAGCTTCTGACATACAGTTCAGCACCCACTCCCAGGAGCAGGGCCTGGCCTGCCTACCTGGTGCAGACAGTAAATCAACAAACAACACTGTCAATCAGCCCACAGAGCAGCTGAAAGGGCTTTCTTTCAAATATACACTTTGGCTCAGTTTCCTCTGCTACACCTGTTCTTCTACCCTTCCTTTCAGTGTGTTCCCCATCCTTTCCCCCCAGCTCAGCAAGGCGCTTCCTGACAGAAACACTTAGACAGCTCTTCTCCTCATGTTTCTGCAAGGAGCCTCCCAAAGTAGCAACATATGTACTGTGGTCCTGCCTGGAAGTTTTGTTCTGCTTGGGCTGTTCAAACACGGTTACGAAGACTTTGCCTCCACAGAGCCAAGAGGCTAAAGAGAGGCAGACTGAGGGGAAGCTTGCTCAGGGAATCTACATGATTTGTTCTGGAAGCAGGGAACAGAATCGACATGTCCTGACTCCCAGGGCGCTGCTCTGATCTTCAGGCTGTGCTATCTCACTGCAGTAAGAAACATACTGGGAGCCCCTTGCACTGTTATGTGTCCCCCAACACTTCTGCAGGGTACTATACAGCCCAGGGTCAGTCCATGCTGACAAGGTGATGCTCAGGACAGGTGGACACAGTGGCAAGGGCCCAGCTGTCCTCCCAGGATAACTCCAAGGCCCAGCTTCCCCCACCTCCCCTGACACCCCGCCCCCAATATTGAGCCAGCCTTGCTTTGTGCACAGTTTGATGGCTTTGTTCCTGCTTCATAAGCACAGGGAGTTCCAAGGAACCCAATTCATTGGGTAGGAGTGAACCTAGCCATGGAAGGAAAGAAAAAACGTGGGACTGGGAGGGGTCCCCTGAGCCATCGAGACCAATCCCTAAACTGCCACCTCAAATCCTTATGCACAAGGCACCAAACCCTCAACACTAGGAGCACCCTATATTGTGCCACATGCAAAAAGCAGGGTAGATAAGGGCACTGGGCAATGCTCTGCCACTGCAAACAATAGTGTTCCCCACTGAGTAAATCAATGTGCAATGTCCTGGTAAAACCATCTGTCTCAGTCCTCTGGGATTAGAAGCCTACGGCAGGAATCCCCAAAGGAATCCATTGTGCAGCTGCCACCATTCCTCACAACATGTCACACCTCTGACATCCATGCAGCCCCTCTGGGAGTGTACCCCTTCTGCTCTAGGTCCTTGGCTATCCTCTCCCCAGCCTTTTTTGGCTCCACAACTGAAAGACGAGCTCTGTTTCCTGACACAGTTTCCACAGCAGCTCTGAATGATTTCTGGCCCCTCTTGATAGCTCTAAACCAGCATGTGCTTTGCAAGGACACAAGTCAGCCTTTTCAAAACAAACCAGCACTTGTCAGTTGATGGGAGTACAACATTTTGGGATCGTCGGGTTAGGATGGAAACAGAAGGCTCACAGGCACATCCATGCTGGCTGTGTTACCTGCCTCTGCATTCTACAACATGTAGCATTGCCCCAGTCCCACTGCATTGTGGAGCTTTCTATGTGACCAATTCTGCTCACTCCTCTGGTTCAAGGACCTGTCAGGGTGGTCCCTCTGCCCTGCCTCCTTTGGCTACTAGTCATTGCAAGTTAAATCTCAGACCATCTATTTGTTTATGTACAGTCTGTTCAAACCAACCCAGGCACACTCTCTCTCCTTAGATAGGGGAAGAGAGACCACCCTTGATCATCCAAGGTTGCTACAATACAAAAATCTCTGACAGGCTCCACCTCAGCCAGGAACCATGGTAGCACTATTAAATCCGCAAGAGTTCTGTCTGGGAACCCAGGTCTCTCTCCACCCCCAGGGGACTTACCCACACACGTAGATATGAGCATTTCCCTCATGGATCAGCTTCCAGACACCTTCTTTGTTTTGTTTCAATAAGTGCTGAACATAAACCTGGCAGAAAACAAAGGCTGAGTTGAGAAAGGGAAGGAGAGGAGGGCAGGCCCAGGTACCAGACACCACACCCAGTTGGCTGCAGCACCACTAGGGAAGGAAAACCCCCAAACCCACAGAGAGGATCTGGGCATGTCTAACCCACTCCTGCACCAACAGCTGAACCACAGGGTAGCACGGAGAAAGCTGGGTTTAGAGATGGCACTCTGGGGAATCAGGAGAGGTTATGGGACATTCCCCACAGACCTCCAGAACAGAACCCAAAACTAAACGACCAGCCAGGCACGTTATACACAGGGTGTGTGGGCCTTGTTCTAAAGCACAAGCCACAGGCCACTGCTGCAGCAGAGATACCAGGCACCAGGTGGAGCATAGCCTGGGCAGGCCTCGCAGCTCGCATGGTCCTTCCTTTAAGATGGTGCAGTGGGGCACCTGCCTGCCCCTTTCAACTCTTCCAGTTTGGAGGCAGCACATGTAGCCAAGCCTCCCACAGTGGATGAGGAAAGTTGTCCTGAGGCTCAGCCAAGGGGAGGAAGGCACTGGGAGTCTTTGCTGGATGTTACCTTTTGAGCCTGGTCCCTGGAGAAGGCGACGTTAAGCTGGGTGAGGGCTCCCTCCTTGTGGAACTGGGTGAGCTCCTCTTGGTAGAGGTAATCCTCTTTTTCATGGCGACAGCCATAGTACAGCACTGTGTCACCAACCTCCTTGCCTGGAACACAGCATGTAGCCATTACATCATTCTTCTGACTCCCCAGGGCTGTCAAGTGACTTATCCCACCCCCATCACCAGAGCATATAAGCACCTCACAGCCTGATGTGTTTGTTCTGACAATCCAAGTGACGTTTGCTAGTGGTACTACCCCCATTTTGTGAATGGGAAACTGAGACAGATCCACAAGAGGTATCTAAGCACCTAATTCTCATTTTGTTGTTTGGGGACCTGAGCCTAAGCAACTTAGCCAAAGTTACAAGCAGAGTTTATGGCACAGCAGGGAATTGAACCTGAGACCCCTAGTAGTTCCTAACCACTGTACCCTCCCCTCCCGTCCTAACATGACCACAGGAAGTTAGTTGGATCCCTGCTCCCAGACAGCGTTTTCTCACCAGCTGCCACATAACTGCATTCTAAACTTTGCCAAAAGAGCATTGTCTGACAGCATCTATCACTGAGTCAGTGTGACTTCAGTGAAGTCAACAGAATGAACAGCATCTGCCTGGCAGCAGACCAAGCTGAAATCACTGCTGACCACATCATGCTCTCTCCCACTTCCTGGTGTGGTCACTTGAAGACCTTGCATCATGGTTGTGAAATACCTCCTTGCCCAACCACCTTCCTCTTTCATACCCACCATGCTGCTCTTATTTTTAATTCAAAGGAATGAAGCAATATTCCTGCATTGCTTCTGTAACAACCCAGCAGCCCAAACATGGACCATCTATGGCTACAGGAATCAAGCTGCTGTCTCATTGTTGGGCCCAGAGAAAAGAAAGGGGACTTGCTTCAACCTTTCCTGACTGTGTGGTACGGTGAGGTGTGTATCTTGGATGAAGTATTACAGTGATGAGCTCCACAAGAGAGCCATGGAAAGCTCTAGCTTTGGAACCCAAGCAGGAGCAAGCCACAGGCACTGGGATAAAGTTCTCAGGTCTGAAACCCAAAGAGATATTTTGTTCTGAAGATTTCCACTGTTTGCTGGTAGTGACAAGGTGATACACCCCACCTATGGCCACCTGGGGGCAGACCTGGGACCAGATGATCCAATACAAAGACTGTGCTTTTTCCATGCTCACCTTGCTGCTTCAGCCAGGCACGTTCTTGAATGAAGCCAACGAAAGGGGCAATCCCAGTCCCAGGCCCAATCATGATGACAGGTGTGCTGGGTTTGAAAGGCAACCGGAACTGTGACTTCCTGACATACATGGGCACTAAGGACTTGTTCCCATTTTCATTAGGCACCTTGTTCTTCAGCCAGGTGGTGGCCACTCCCTTGTTCAGACGGCCAGTCTTGGTCTCATACTCTACGGTCACAGCACAGATGTGGATGGAGTTAGGGTGAACCTAAATGGGAGAAGCAAAAGCACCATCAGCTTTAGGGAAATGGTCAACTGCTGCCTGTTTATGCACCACTGCTGGTACCCAAAGGAGAAGAAAAGCCAATAATGGTAATGTTGGTGTACCAACTATTCGTCAGCAGCTCTCAGATTCTCAGCAGAGAACTTGCATAGATTCGTGGGACTTCTAGGGACCCAAGGAGATCACATTTTGTCCAATTCCTCCTGTTCAAGACAGAATCATCCCTGTCTAAACCATCTCAGACAAGTCTGCCTAAACTGCACAATGAGAGGTCTGCTATGCCTTCTAACTGGGACTCTTGCCAGACCCCAGGCTCTGTTTCTCCCTTCAGTACAGGGTAAGTAAGGAGTCTTCAAAAGTTTTGCTACTGCCATTCCCTCCCTCCCACATTAGGAATGGGGACAGGATTTAGTCTTCCTATTGGAGGACAGAAGGGACCAATTTGTGGAAAACACGATCCTGCATGCGAAAGCTGGGACTGGTTTCAAATGACATCATGATTTGTGGAGGAGTTACCTAGGACATGCTCCTTTATCCATGCCCCATGTCAGATCCCTGTGCCAAGGTATTCATCTGTTTCTCTCTGAATTACAGTTAATAGAATTTTAGATTCTGCCTTTCCTTTTTCATTAGCCAACTAGTACAAGGCAGCGCATGTGCAACTGAAATAAAATTAGAACAAGGCTGAATTTCAGCTGCCCCTTAACTCTGGTACACAAGAAATGCAGTTGGATGCTCTAGAATGGCTGTTCCTCATTCCTTTAGGGTGGCTGTGCTCCATCTTCAGCTCTTGAGATGAGAACCCATGAGACAAATAATATTCCTCTTTGGAATTCCATCTTACTCCCAAGCTATAAAAGCACAGCCTGATAGCAGTGACAGCAGAGCTGCTGACAGCACAATGGTGGCATGGTGTGATCAGCAGTGATGAGGAAAAACCCTGAGTTTCTCAAGAACCCTGCAGCCTATGTGAAACACCACAGACTGGTATTCTTGGTCACAATGCCAAAACAGAGCTACTTCTATACTAGATACATTTCCAAGGGAAATCCCTGCATTTCATTCCTATGCCTTCACATGAGCCCTTAAGGAGACTCCACAGATGTCCAAAAGCACTACTGGGAAAGGATTTGCTAGGATTGCTGAACTTCTGCGTGGCAGAAAGGAATCCCTTGGCTTTGCTTTGAGGCCTATTAGTCATGCCAGGAATCAGGCTCTTCAGCATTTCTACATGAGCCAGGTAGAGAGGGAGCACTCACCTTGGAGGAAGAGGCAATGGAGTAATAACGGGCCTGCAGGCGTGGCAGCAGCTCACAGAGGTGGTCAATGGGTGGTCGCAGAGAAGGCATGTCCTGTAGGATGGCTAAGATGTTCCTCCTGGAATCAACGACCCAGCTAAGGTAAAACTCCTACAGGTGAATAGACCAGAGCAAGACACAGGTGAAACGCCATGGTCTGGGTTATACAAGAGAATAAGATAAAGTCACCCAAAGTCGCCTGTCCATCCCCCCACCATCTGGCCTTACACCAGTGGCTAGGTCTCCTCACACAGGGTTCTTTCTGTTTGGACCCTGAGGGGCAGCTTTTTGAAGTAGGGAAATAGTAACAGGCTCAGGTGGACAAGCCTTTCATCTAAAGGCACTTCTTAGCTTCATCAGAAACACAGTGGGTTGCAAAGCAAGGACTAGGCCCCATGGCAAAGCTATTTCTGCCTAATGGACTGAGTTTTATCTCCCAGGATGAAGAGAACAGCCCAGCACTCACCTTTCCCTCAGCAGCAGAGGAAGCCATTTTGCGGAGGCGATCCTGCTCATTGGCATCTGTGGCATACTGAGCCAGCTCATATAGGACATTGGTACGTGGCGGGTTAGTGATATCTAAGTAGTAGGTCAGGGCTGTGCGGTAAGAGGTGGGGCAAGGGAATGGATGCTTCTTATTGGATTCCTCTGTAGAAAAGAGAGGAGGATGAAGATCAGAGGTGCTGTTGGCATCGCAAGCTGTTGTGCTAGGCCAAAAAAGATGACGCAGGAAAGGCCAAGTGTTGCAGGGGAACTGATTTCACAGCACAAGACATTACATAGCGACCCACTAGCATAACAGCTCAAAACACTGGGACAGGATGATTACACATGTGGATGACTATGGGTCAGTTCTCCTGTTGCAAGGTCAGCCCACGCTAGCAGACCTCTTGGCTACCCTGTAAGAGCAGAGCAGCACATTCTAGATAGCAGAGATGGAAAAGCTGGAGTCATTATGGCCACTCTACTGCCTGCTTTCCTCCATACTTCTTTACTGTTTTAGTCACTACAATCAGACTCCCTGAAGGCTGAGCAGCCAGTAAGAAAGCCCTGTCTGTGATGGGCCTTCTCACTCTATGATCTCAAGGCACTTCACAAAAGCTGTAATCAGTCTCATCTCCCCATTTCACAGAATGGGTAACAGAGGCATGGTGAAGGAAAGTGACTTTATAAAGCATGTTTTAATGGTTTGGGTTACAAAAAGACACTGGTTCTCTGTCATTACATTGAGATTTTGCACTTTCAAAGGGAGCCCTGTATGTATTTAACCTAGGGGTAGGCAAAATATGACCTGCAGGCTGGATCTGGACCACTAAGTGATTCTATCCAGCTTGTGGTGGGTCCCTTGGCTCCACCTGGTCCAGGCAAAGAGGGCAGCCCAGGCCATGGCATGTGTGGTTGGTCCCGTCATCCCCAGGTGTGCAGGAGCTGTCTGGAGCAGAGCACAGCCCACCCTATTCCTGTGCATGGCTCTCAGGTACGCCAGGACCTGTTGTCTGTGAGACCAGGTGGCACGGTGGTGGGGCAGGGGCAGCAGTGGCCAGACTTGACTTCCTCAGCAGCAGCTCACTCTGCCCTCAAACTTCCAGCTACTTCAGCCAGTGCCTCTGCTGCTGCCACTGGACCCAGTCCCGCTGCCCAGGCACACCACACCCCCACTGCCAGGGCCACCAGATGGACAGGTGGGTAGGATCTCCATGGATACTGAGCTGGGACCTCCACAGGCAGCGTGCGCTCAACTGGGCAAATGGGATGGGGCCACAAGGAGGTGAGGAGTGGTGTCCAGTAGTGAGACAGGCAGGTGGGGCCAGGATTGCAGGGCAGTGAGTGTAGGGCCAGGGCCAAGGGCAGAGCCATGATCCACAACCTGCATGTTCCTGCAACAGGCGCCAGTTCCACAGGCAGCAGTCAGTCCCTACCCATGGAGCCAGCAACCGTCCAGGGATGTTTGGGGAGCAAATTGTGGCTCTGGCTGGGGCCCTTGCCCCACCTTGTCACCACCCTGCAATCCTGGCCCCACCTGCCTATCCTGCTGCCAGACACCACTCATCACCCACCTGCAGCCCCATCCCATCCACCTGGCCGAGGGCACCCTGCCCACAGGGGTCCTGGTCTGGTCTCCATGGAGACCCCACTCACCCAGCATCCCTGGCAGCAGGTGCAGGGCAGATGGGCCCAGGGCCAGATAGTATCAACTGGCAACTCCCTCCCTCCCCCAACAGCTCACCAAAACTCCTTAATGGCCCTCTAGCCCAAATAATTCCCCACCCCTGATTTAACCCTTTAATAACCTGCAAGAATGCTCCATGACTCACCTCTCAGGAATACTAAGCAGCAGCTAACTAAATGGGAGTTAATTCAGTACAATACACTAAGAAAAGAGGCCTTTACACCAGGAGGGGCCACAAGCAAGCCTCATGGCACTGTAATGTGGATCAGAGAGGGCGCTACAGACGGGGATCTGCAGTTTGCTCAGTAATATGTAAGTAAGCTGCCAAAAACAAGAGCAAGGCCTTAGAGTAACTACCCAGCTGCCCGTGAAATCTTTTGACGGCTAACGTCTTCCTCCTCCTCCTCTGAATAATCAATTTGCAAAGGAGTCTTGGCATTAGGAGAGAACTGTAGGTAGAAAGGGTGCACACACCGGAGACTCCCTGCCAGTGGCATACCGATGGGGGTGGGCAGGGGGCCAAGGCCTCCCATGTTTTGTGTGGCCCACCCACCTGCCCAGCGGGTTGTGGGCTTCTTTTGCTGTTCCGGCTGGAAATTCCAGCTGCCCCCCTTTCCCCCACAGCTGGTGTGCCACGCTGCTAAATCTCCCACAGAAGTGTCATGGGGCAGGAGGCAGCGCCCTGCACAGGCTGATTTGCCTTGGGACCTGCACCCTGCTCGGACCGTCCCAGGGCAAATGCAGGCATTGGCCCCCAGGCGCTGGAGATGCATGGGCCACCACTGCTCCCTGCTACTGTTCTGTAACTATTGTAAGCTGGTGTGCTGGCAGAGGGGCAGAGAAAGGCTGGAGGCTTGGCTAACTGCCAAGAACATTCTTTCTGAAGAGTATATGGCACGAAGGGCCCTGTCTTTGCATTTCAGTACACTCCAAGATAGAACCTAATCCTTCTGTTATTATATAAGGGCATAAAGGAATTAATATTCTAATTGTGCTGGAAGGGGATCATTGTGCAAATTGGGAGGTCGAGTAAGCCTGGTATTCTTAGTTCCAGACGTGTCGGTTGTATAATTTGTGATGCATACAACTGACACCAGACCTCCCCGGATTGTGTAATGACAAGAGAGCTCTGGACCACGGCTGCTAAAGATTATGCAGAGCTCAAAACAGCCTAGGCTCCTCCTAACAGCTTTACAGGATCTGGGAGACTGAACTAAGACAAAGTGTAAGAACATCAAGCACTTGGCCTCATGGAACAGAAATACCCATTGTTTGGACTGTGATGATCTCCAGGACCCCCAGGCATGAACCAAAGCTCCTTTGTGTTATGCACTGTACAAAACAAAAGACAATTCCTGTTCCTGAAAGGAACACCATACTCTGGCCCTGGGGGAAAGGTAGGAGGAGCAAATTCACTCCAGCAATTCAAAGGTCAAAGGGTGGATGATACAGATTAAATAAAAAGATCCCTCTGTGGAAAAATACAGGCATGAGGGTATAAATACTGTCAAAAGCAGCTCATCAGTTGGTCTCATATGAGGGGCACCCTTACAGCACAAGCACAGAAAGAGGAACACTTGTTCAATAGTCTGCCAAAGGACTGATCTCAGTGGCATCACTCACCATCCAGATTGTTTAAGGACATGATTGTATCCAGGTCTGCTCCCAGAATCTCACCAATCTGGTTCACTAACGTTGAGTCATTGGCTGGGTAGACGGCAACATGGTCCCCAGATTCATACCTGGAGAGGGTAAAAAGGATATATTATATGTAGCTCTGGCGCTGGCTCACATCAAATAAAATAGGCCCGATTAAGTCAGCTAGGAGGGGAGAGTGAAGTGTAATATGCAGACAGTGTCCTTTCCAGTCTATACTGAACTGCTACTTGCATCCACCTGGAGGGGTCAGGGAGCCACACAGTGCTTGTTTCTGCTGAAGGGAGAAAAGGGAGCCAACAGCTAATTTCTTCTGTGTATGTGCACTAAATGCCACTGTAGAATAATGAATCCCAAAAGGTGCCTTTGCAGGAGCTTGCTCTCTTGATATTTCTCACTTACATATACACGCATCCTTTGCCGTGGGCTTAGTTCTGCAGTTAAATAGAGGTAATTCTGTACGCTTGCATCACCACATTAGACTAATCGATACCCACTGGGACTGTAAAGTGCTTACAGAAACACCTGTCCCCCTCAAGTAGAACACAGTGGCTGTTCTGTGATGATGTAACATGGTACTCAAACCGGGAGAAAACTACTTTGCAGAAAAAGCAAAATTCAACATAGCAAAATTACCCTAGTTTCCAAAAACAACCTCACCCCACAAAAGGAGACTGCATATACCCTTGGCACCGAGGTAAAGGCAATAGAAAACATCCTTTCTAAAGCTCTGGATGAGTCAAGCATACAGTTTCCCAAAGCTTCTGCTATGGTGCTGCCCACCCCTTCCCAATCCCAGGAGCCCATTTTTCAGGAAGGAGTACCTGACTTTGGAACCTGAGATATCCAGCTCCAAATGCATGAGGTGTCTCTCTCCACCCTGGTTCAGTTTTCTGTTCTTGGTCACAGGTGCCAGGAAAGGGTTCTTCGCATCAAACGGGCTAGAAGGAACAATGGACTTCACTTACAAGTGGACTTTACAGTACTCATATCCCAGAGTATGGAGAAGTCAACTGATGACTTCAAACCCAGCGAAACAGCTGGCTGGCTTTGGCAAGAGCAGTAAAACCTGTCAAAGTTCTTAAACTGTATCCATCTGAGCCCCTAAAGCCCCTTCTCCTATACAGAAAGGCTACAGGTCATCACACCTCCCAACACTCCCTAGTTGACTGCTGTAACTCTGCTACCAAGTCACAGAAGATGAAAACAAGGCTGCCTGGGATAAAGGTATTGACAGGTCTAGAAGTCTTCATCTGGTTTAGATTAATGTAACAAATCTAATCTTTCTGTAGATACACCTCAATTGCAAGTGATTCCTGAAAGCTTCAGTCATTTCCTAAGGGAACACAACTTTGACAGTACAATTCATTCAAAATAAAACACAGCAGCTAGTCCTCACTCACAGCACAAAACTAAGCAATCTTCTCCCATCCAGTTACAGGTATTTTCATAGCATGTATCTCCAGAGCATCTGACCTCATGTGTTAACTAATTTAGCCATAACTCCCTGGAAGGAGAAGGAAGGAGGAAGGAGAAGGAAACAGGCATAGAGAGCAGTGGGGACAGTTTCTGCAGAGGCCATCCAGCCAATGAGAATGCAGCCCTGATCTCCCAAATCCCAGTCTGGTGTCTTGAACACAGTTCTGCTCCCCCTCTCAGATGTGCACTGGTTACAAAGAAGACCCCAAGTGTGCTAGATTTCAATTCCTTCTTGCCTGACAGACTTTTTCTAGTCCACGGATTTCAAGACCCCTGCAGCTAGCAGGAGAGAGAAACCAGAGTCCAAGACCTTTCACCCATAAAGAGTATTACATGCCAGCCTCTGGAGTTTCACAGAAGGCAAGCTGGCATTACTGAGACCAGAGCAGCACGCGAGACAACATGAACTATCAATATCACTGAGGATAAGTCCAGGCAGGGTGGGTGCCCTCTCGGAAAGAACCCGCACCCCCTCCCCCTGCATCAGGTGACTCCTCTGCTGGAACACAGCCCGAGAGGCCAGCCTGCTGAAGGTTAACATGGAGGGATGCCTCATAGAAAACACGGGCCCTGACTTTTCACCTTGAGTGAGTTTCAGTCTCCCTGCTCATGTACCAGTGGTTGCTGATCACTATCTCTCTGCAAATTAGTGACGATATCTAAACACCCTGTGGGAGTAGGCATGAAGAGATGTTGCAACATGCACTCGGCTTATGCAAAAGCATTTGTTACGATGCTTCCCGAGCAGGAGTGGCACTGCGTCCTGCCTTCCTGAGTGGCCACCTGCTTGCAGAGGAAACCCACAGAACACTGAATCCCTTATGGCCATCATCCTGGGACTTCCTTTCAGCAACTACTCCCAGAAGGGCATCTGAGAAGGATAACAATTAGGCAGCTTCCCCCTTACACCCTCAGTCCCAATCTGAGGTAATTATATAGCCCCCATTACCAGTATCTGCCCACCTCACACTCCGGATGGAATGTACTGACCCTCCCAATGCTGCCCAGGCACAGCACAATTGCTGTTAGGCTCATTTATATATATGTAACCATGGCAGAGAGGTTGAATGATCTGCCCAGATCACAGGATCAGGCGAAACAGCCACCCTCCACACTCCTCCCCCCCTACAGTTTGCCAGGACTGATTTCACCCCAAGGAAAGAGCATCCAGTCATGCTGACTATGACTAGCCAATCAGGGAGCCCACCTTGGCAGCCTAGTCTTACAGTTATTCCTGACACCGATCCTAAGTTTCCCTTGCTACAGCTGAACCTTATTACTTTTATTAAGGACTGAAGGGAGTATTTCATCCCTTTGCCCTTCAGAAGCATCCCACTATATCTGCAAACAGCTGTCTCAGATCTCTGTTTCCAACTGAGCCTTTCTGTTGGGCTTTGCTCTAACCTCCCCAATGTATTCACCATTAAGGAAAGGTGAAATAAATCCAAAATACCTCAAGCCATGTTCCAACTGCACTGTTGATGCTACAAGATCATCCTAACCTCAAGGACTGTCATCCCTTCTTTGGATCCTTCTTTTCCCAATTGTGAAAGCATGACGGCAATGATGCCCATCCCAAATAGACCTACTCCAAGTTCTGCATAAACCAAAAATCTCTTCACCTTCATTGCAATCTTTCTCTGAAGCTCAAGGTGGCCCTTGAATAAACTACTGAAGCTACACAAGTCCCAGAGCTTAGAGGAAAAGCCAGCTGCCTCAACCACAGGATGGTAATTTTATTTTTTAATATCAACCATGGTGTTTTGCAGCCACACAGTCAAATAACAGGGCTTACTCTGTGTCTGCCAAAAAGACCTGTATCCACAACTTAAGGTACAGAGCCCACATGGGCACAGGGGTGCTAGTGACAGTAGTGTTTTTATGTGGTAATGCAGGGTCCCACTGCAATCCCAAATGCACAGCCTGAACGAGCAGGCAGAAACCCACCAGAGCATATCCAGCCAACCTTTCATTAATATATTGTTATTTCTTATTATTGGGATAATGGCCATAGTGTCCATTCAGGGATCAGGGCTCCACTGTATTACGTGCTGTACACATAAGAGAGACTCTCTGTCCCAAGAAACATGTAGTTTGTAGCCTTCTTGCCACTAGTGGTGCGGGGTTAAGAAGGCTGTGCTGGAGGAAGAAGTTTCTGCACAGCGTTTAGCACAATCCTTTGTATGACACAGTCCTTGACATTTCTATCCTGACCACTCTTTGCCAAAGCTGCCTGGAATTGTCTGGTACTCACGGTTTCTGGCTCTCGTAGCTCTTGAGCCGGCCCATCTCCCCAGTGTAGACTTTGTTCATGTTCATATCTGTGTGGACAACCAACTCATACTGACGAATGCTGGGGGGGGCAAAAAGAAAGGAAGCAAGTGTGAATCACAGGATTTGGTCCAGACCCCAGAGTATCTGCTTTGCCGGATCTAGCCACCCGCCCAATTCTCCCCACCAAAACTGCTGTTCTCCATGCAAGGAAGGCACTATTGCGGAAGGAAGTGACTCAATCCATTTTCTAGCATTTAGTTCGTTAGTTCAGCTTAGGCCACCCATGACATGACATGAAATCCTCAGTCTAATGGCTTAGGAAACCTAGGCCTCAACTCAAAAAAACCACTCAGTAAGCTGGAAGGATTCCCAGCTTATTCAGAAGAGACTTCAGTCAGAGCCACCCAGGGAAGCTTCAAAGGAGGAAAAAAATATGCAGTTTACCAAGTCCTGAACTTTGATGAACCTGGGAACCTTTATGATTCATTAGCAAGCATACTTTGTAGAACTTTGCTCCAGGCAGTTAATCAATGCAAAGTTCATTTGCTTTGGGCAGTAGGACAAATGTTTCCAGTTTATGAACTTCACAGGAGATGGAAGAGCAGAAGGAAGGAAGCCATTATCTTGGCTTTAGAGTACAAAAATAAATGTGGCAGTACTTACAATCTACTTTAAAAACTCATTTATGAAACTAATCCTAAGCTTCCTACTGCAAAGGACAGAACCCTGGGACAGCTTTGGAGTTACTGTTTGTAGCCAGAGACATCAACACACCCCACCACACTAGATGTGGATCAGGGTAAAGATTGCCAAATTTAAAATCTAGACCAGTGATTCTCAACCAAAGTGCTGTGGCACTCTGCCTTGAGATCCCTTCAGGAGTGCTGCAGGATGCCACACAATGTTAGCACTGTTAACTATGAAAAATATGATTGACGAGTTAAACCCAAAGATTTCAAATAGGAATCTAGTGTTAAAAGTATCCTGACCTGTTTTAGTCTTTGTGAGTTCTCTGCAACAGAAGAATTGCTCTACTATTTCTCTGTAGTCAAAAACCAAGAGAAAACTAAGAGCTGACATTTTCCTGGCGGGAGGGGGCCTTGAGTATGTCAAAGGATGAAACCAACTGATCTGGACATTAATGTGACAGCAGCCAGAGAACGCAGAAGCTTTACAGCATTCCATCATAAACAATGAGTTGTTTTTCATATACAAGTTAATTTAGCACTGACAGAAAACAGCTGACAATCTTGGGAGACTCAAGGCCTCCACTATATGTTGCAGCTGGTACCATCATTGGCTGGCATATAAGCTTCCTTTTCCCAAAGCACCACAAAGCTGACTACACACGTAGTCCCTGACTCCTCTGCAGAGATACTTCTAGTTGTGTCTGACAGCAATCATAGTGTGTGCTACTGGACCTTAGAGTGAGGGACAGTGGTGCCAGTTAGGGAGGGAATGGCTCCAATGCACTATGGTCTTGATGTACTGCCTCTTTGAGAGGCTTCTGACAGATGCTGTCAGGGTCCCCCTTGCACTCTAACAGCACTGCACATGGTACATCCTTTTCCTTGAGCTCTGAGAGGACTGTGTAGTGTCAGAGTTCCTGACACTCCAATCTATGAATGAGCTGGTTCTGAGAAAACCCCAGTGAAACAAAGCATTTCACTGGGTTACTGAAAAGCTCTGTGGAGGAGACAGAAGTACATTTCCTTGGGTCCTGCTGCTGTTGATAGGGAGCTGCTGTGCAGCTTTACCCTGGACAGAAGCATAGGTTTCATAGCTTTCATAGATTTTAGGGTCAGAAGGGACCTATTAGACCATCGAGTCTGACCCCCTACCCTGGGCAGGAATGAGGGGTTCAGATGACCCCAGCCAGGTGTTTGTCCAATCTCCTCTTAAATACCTCCAAGGAAGGGGACAGTACCACCTGCCTTAGAAGCGTATTCCATATTTTGACAACCCTCACTGTAAAGAATTTTTTCCTGATGTCCAATCTAAATTTGTTCTTCTTCAGTTTGTGGCCATTGCTTCTAGTTACCCTGATGGGCATCCTGGTAAGCATCGTATCCCCTGTTTCCTACTGTTCCCCCCGATGAGCTTGTAGATGGCCACAAGATCACCTCTCAGCCTTCTCTTACGGAGGCTGAAGAGATTCAGGTCCCTCAATAGGTCTTTTAACCAGATGGGTGGCCCTCCTCTGAGCCCTTTCCACATTATCTACATCCTTCTTGAAGCACAGCACCCAAAACTGGATGCAATACTCCAGCTGTGGCCTGACCAATGTCACATACAGGGGAAGTATCCCCTCCTTAGACCTGTTTGCGATGCACCTACTTATGCAAGAAAGAGAAAGAGTGTGGTTAGCTTTACTTATTGCTTCATCACACTGGTGACTCATGTTCATTTTGGAGTCGACTACAACTCTGAGATCCCTCTCCACCGTTGTGCTGCTCAGTATGGTACCTCCCAGGCTATAAGTGTGTTGATGATTCTTCCCCGCTAGGTGCAACACATGGCACTTATCTTTGTTAAACTGCATCCTATTCTGTTCCGTCCACTTCCCCAGCCTGTCCAAATCAGCCTGGATTCACTCCCTGCCCTCTAGCTTGTTTACCTCCCCCATAGTTTGGTGTCATCTGCAAACTTGGACAGGGTGCTTTCTACTCTCTCATCCAAGTCACTAATGAAGATATTGAACAGTACCAGTCCCAGGACAGAGCCTTGGAGGACTCCACTGTCCACATTTCCCCAGGTAGAAACCAACCCATCCACTACTACTCTCTGGGTATGACCCACGAGTCAATCTTCTGCCCACTGGACTGTGTAATAATCTACATTACAACCGCTTAGTTTATTTATAAGAATTGGGTGTGACACTATGTCAAAGGCCTTTTTAAAAATCTAAGTAAATAACATCAACCTCTGTTCCTTCATCCAAGCATGTTCTAGAGCTACTGGCTGCGGGAAGGCCAGGCTTTTAGCCAAGTTGATCCGACTGCCCACACCATGTGGACAGACTAATACAATGGGCTCATCCACCAGCTAAAGCCGCTGAGGTAATGTGACTTGGGCAATCTGATTCCCCACTAACCTGCGCTGAAACTCCTGCTCTCCTTGCTGCTTTACTCTGGATGGAGTTCAAGGCATAGGTTTTCATTGATTTCATAGACATTAGAGCTGGAAGGGACCTCGTAAGATCATCGGGTCCAGCCCCCTGCCCAAGGGGCAGGAAGTCAGCTAGGGTCAAAGGATCCCAGAAAGATAAGCATCCAAATGTAACTTTAATGGTTTTAACTTTAATGACAGTCCCATCCTGATCACACTGAGCTTCAGGCTCCCTGCATGATTAAATCATACTCACAGGCTGGAGGGGACTTCAAGGGACATCTAGACCAGCCACCTGCACAGATGCAGGATTTGCCGTTCCTCAGACAAATGCCTACCAACTTCTTCTTGGAAACCTCTAAGGAATGAGATCTTTCTGCTGATGCCATAAGATAGACACCTACCGGAACCAGAAGTTTGCCCAGGCAGAGAGACAATTGCTCACACAACTCTCCTTTCTGTGGGTTTCAGGAAGGTTTAAGACTATTGTGTACAAGGGGGCCTGCAGCAAAGTGTTTTCAGATTTGTTCTGACAGATAATATACATGGATAGAAATCAGTGAGGCAGTGTGACAGGCTGGCACTTGACACTCAAAGGCAGATGTTGTGTTGTTATATCAGACTGATAATGCAATTAGGAATGGCATTGCAGCTGGGAGACAGATGAGAGGGAGGCCAGAGAACTAAAGTGTCAGCAGGGATTTTTTTGTTTTTACTAGACAGCTGGTTATTAAGTGTGTGGTGCCACGAAGCAGAGAACTCAGCACAAATCAACCATTGGCAACAGAGCCACCAAGTTCAGAGTTTGAACTTATTTCTAAGCTTGGGAAGTAGGATGTGGGGACCTGTTTGAACTGAATCTAAAATTTATTTAAGTGAATGCAGTCACTTAAAAGGATGCATCTCCCCACTATTTTTCAATCTCAGTAAGGTGGGTTTGCATAGAGTTGCTCTTTGAAACACCATCTCAGGCCTGAATAGGGTCCAGATGGCAGAAGACCACTCTTCACTTGGGACTGCTGCAAGAAACCATGCTAATACCTCCTCGGCTGCCATGCTCACCTGGACTCATCTCCTGTAGCTTCCACGCCAAAGTGCTCACAAACTGCTGGCCAAAACTGCTCACGCCAAGTAATGAAATCTTCTTCCAGGCTGTGCAGGAAAAATGGAAAGAGATTTACTGTCCTGTCACAGAGAGATGCAGGAGAGGAGTGTTTCCACAGCAACACCATAAAACATTACTCTTCCACCCATTCTAATTTCTTCCACCCTCATTTTGTTCACAAAAGTGATCAGGGAGCTGGGATGAAACTCTTATTCGGACACAGCTGATCCAAGGATGTTCATTTTTCACACTATCCTCACTGACTCACCTAGCAACATGGGACATCAGGAAATGTGGGGTCAACTGCAGTTCAGTTAACCCTTCTTAGTCCCTTACACTGGACCCCAGGAAGGGTTATAAGAGCACAGTGGCATAGATGGGAACATACTGCACCTGTTCTTTTAACTCTGCTGTTCCCCAGCCAGTTTTGACCCCATTAACAGAACTTCAAGCCTAGGTTGAAAGACTGCAGGCAAGCCTAACTTGAAAAGTTCAGAGGTTCCACATTGCCACTAATTTATTTAACATATTTAATTTCAGAGTACAACCAGACAAGGCAATCACAGAGCTTGTGCAGGTTCCCATCTGCTGAGAGAATCCCAGGCATGATCAAACCAGTGTATGTAAAGTCAATCAGAGGATAAGGGACACTCGCATATCAGGACAGAGGGCAGGGCATGGAAGCACCTAAGAGACAGTACTGCCCTGCCCTGCCTTCTGAATCTGAGAGGCACACACACCAGGTCCCAACAAACCATGGCCAGGTACATTTGACACACATCAGTGAGTTATGTAAACCAAGATCCCCCACAATAACTGAAGCAAGCACCTGTGGTCTGCCCCTCCCACGAGTGCATGTCTACAGTGCAAGACTCACTGCAAGCTGTCCAAAAATGACCCATTTGCCTCTGTCTACTTACTTCCCATCATCATCACCCAACCCAAGCTCAAAGATTCGCTGGGCTCCGAGCTGCTCCAGTCTCTTGTCCACGTACTTCCCCATTGCGTTGAAGTGCTCGTAAGTCTTGTTTCCAAGTCCAAACACCTGGAAGAGATTTACACTTTGTTCATTGAGGTACAGCTAATGAATTAATGCAACAGCTCTAACACCACAGAAAGATTATAAAGTTAATAGGTCTCAAGAGCTCAAAAAGGAAGGAGGGGAGGGATCTCTGCTTACCAAGGCTTGGCTGGCTAGGGAGCTCCTGGCCACAAAGAACTTCCAACCTTTCTTAGTTTGCTAGTTCACACTCCACCCAGGTCCACAACAATCAAAAGCTCTTACCTTCTGATGGCTATTTACCATTGTGTGAGGTGAGCTGAGGGCCAAAATCCAAGCCCAAGCATGTGGGTAATAGAACCATTATGCAAAAGAACCACTACCATAGCCAGGCCTTGAGACAGGAGTGGGCAAAATACAGATCCAGCCTGCCAAGGGATTTTATCTGGCCCCCCATAGGTCCCTCAGCCCCGTCTGAGCCAAGTGGGGGTGGAGGCAGCCCAGGCCATAATGCATGCAGCCAGTCCTGCCACCATTAAATCATGTTATCATTAATACCACTAGCCCACTCATACATAGCACTTTTTATCAGTAGGTCTCAAAGTGTTTTATAAAAAAAAAAAAAAAAAGCTAGTGTTGCTATCCCCAGCCACCCAATGGACCGATGGCAGGGTGAGGAAGAAAATCCAGGTCTAAGTCCCAGTCTGGTGTGCTGTTCATGGAGTATCAACACCTCCCATAAGCCATGGTTTGAGCAAGTTGGCGGGACAGCTTCAGTGCAGCTGGCACTCATCTCCCCGGTGTTATGCCTTTTCTGGGGACAAATACAGTACTTGGGTCTGCTTCTCCATCAGCATCAAGAACTAGTATCCCTTCTAATCCAGCATCTGCTTTGGAAGGGACAGCATAGGAGTCATATAGCCAAAGGGGCTAAACATACAGAACATGGAATGGAACTCTGGCAAAGGATTATTAGCTGGGGAGTTAGGTGGGGTGGCATCATCTCATCCAATTATTAAATTTAAGTATAGAGAAGGAACATACATCTCTTGGAGAGATCTAATTTGCAGATTATCTGACCTAATAGTGTCTAATTAGCCTGATGAACAACAACAGATACTTGGAACTCAGGTAACAGCCTCCATGTTCAAATGCAAGTGAGAGGTTGTCTGCAGAAGATGGGGCCCAATTATGCTTCATAATTTAGAGATTCAGGTAGGAGACCTGACATACTTATTTAAAGCACGCAGAGCCACGTTTGTTGCCGTGTGCGCAGCGCATACTACCTAGATTTGTGCGTGACACAGGCATGCAAGTTATGAATGCCAGGCATAAAAATTCCGATTGCACACCGACCTATTGGTTCAAGTCTGTCTTGGGCAACTATGTGGTAAGGCTTGCGGGTGGGAGGAGGGGTCATGCATAAATAAGACATAAGCAGTAAAGCAGTTACTTACTGCATACTTGACACCAGACAAGTCCACATCAGCCTCCTGCAGCCAATCATAGAAGTCTTGGGCATTGTCCGTGGGGTCACCCTCTCCATATGTGGCCATGCAGAACACAGCCAAGGAATTGTCAATCTCAGAGAGGCGGCTCAGATCAGACTAGAAAACAAAGCCAAAGAAATAAAAGTCCTTGAACATACCTGGCGCTTTCTATCCACAAGGACCCTAAAACATATTACAAACCATGTATTACTACCATTAAAAAGCAGCTTACTTCTGGAGTGACAGCAATTTTAATTTTTCCAAACTGCTCAAGGGGCCAAATCATTGGTCAAGTCTCCCCCTCACCCCCAGCAAAAGAGATCTGGCAGCTGGGGTGGAGGGAGAGGAGGGAGCCTAAACCTCATAAACAGGGTTAGAAGAAACCTCAAAATTCATCCAATCTCCTGTTCAAAGTAAGAACAGAGCTCTGATCACTGTGCTATAAAGCCAATATAAGCCTGGCTTAGTTCATAACTGAGCCACTGGAACAGACCTCTAAAGCAGGGAGCCACCACAAGTTCATGCCTACAGGGTTACTCACACCAGCCAATTGGGCCCTAGATTCGACTAGCACAGATGGGTTCTTGGTCACATTCTTCTCTGTCCTGTATCTTTCAGGGCTCACAGTTACATGGTACCATGAGAAATTGCCAACAATTCATCCTCTCTTTTGTCAACTAACTTATCTCTCTCTAGCTCAGTTCCAGCACTGGCCACTGACACTGATCACATGCTTTTGGCACAGAAGGAAGAGTTTTTCTCTTGTACATAATTCTAGTCTGTTATAGGTGCTGCACACAGTGAGGTCTCATCTGATTTACCAAGTCATACTCCTCTGGATCAGCTCCGAGGCCCCTCATACCATAACGATGGGCATCTTTGGAAAGACGGTTGGCAAACTCCTCTGCTGTCCCAGTCTGGGAGCCATAGAATACCACTATGTTTCGCCCCTGAAAAGAAAGTGAAATATAATTACATACAAAATGCTAATCTGGGCAGTAATTAGGGGTCGGGAGAAAATACAATGTTGACGTTGTATTAAGGGAAGGTTAACATTGGATGGATTGGTTAAGGGAAATGACTGGGTGTCAGGAAACCTGGATTGTATTCCTGGTTCTGGTGCAAACCTGGGATGGCAATATCTATGCTTTGGTGCTCCTACTTGTGCAGCAGGGATAGCAGCAGCCTACTCCCTGGGGAACTGGAAGGCTAATGATTGTCACTGCAGAGTTTCAGTGAAGGATGTTACACATCCATTCATAGAATCTGTCATGCTGGGAAAGCAACTTCTTTAAGGGGAGGCAAGAGCAAGCTTTTTTTAAGGACATTTTGGAAGCTTTTGAAAAGTGCCCAGCACACATTGGCTCTTCCATAAATAATGATCAATAAGTTTCAGGCCTCCCACATCTTCCTCCTACTCTGATTTCATCTGGCACTCCTCTTTCTTGACTAATACTCTTCTAAATTATCTTTTCTTTTATACAAAAAATAAATTTCCTCCACCTGGCAAGAAAAAAATACCATCAGACTGCTCTAACCTCTTCCTCCTTCTTATTTAAATTTGTCCATCCTCCCAGATGTCTGGTCCTGAAGATGTTTGTCAGTGGCAGACCCAAGTCTAAATCCCAGCCAACCAGTTCAGCAGCAAAGAGTTTCCTGCTTCCCACCTGGTACAGAGGGCCAATCACTCGCACAACTCCCTGTTGGCAGGACTCACTGAAGGCAATTCTCACTGGGGGAGAAGGAGAGATTCTGTTCCCTCCACACCCATTAGACAGGAACAACCCATCCCATTTCATGTCAGAGTAGAGAAAGGAACTACCTTACCGTCTTTTTCATCTTGTCCACAAAGTTGCTGTCTCCTCCTGAAGAAGAGGAGGAAGAGGTTCTGAAAGACAGAGGAAACCTGCCTTTAGAGCACGGGCGGGCAATTATTTTGGGCGGAGGGCTGCTTACTGAGTTTTGGCAAGCCATTGAGGGCCACATGACAGGCAGCAGGGGCAGATAAATATTAATTTTCTAAATTTTTTAGGGGCCCTGTGGGCTGGACAGAATGGCCTGGTGGGCCACATCCGGCCCACAGGCCACATTTTGCCCATCCCTGCTTCAGAGGTATGTTCTAATTCTCCCTGGATTAGGAGAGGCTGCAGGGGAAGGTGGAGAGCCTGGAGCTGGTGGGAAGAAGCCTGTTAAGGTATTGCGACAAGTGGTCCTTGAGTGGGCTAGTGAGTACCCTTGCTTCATGGAGACAGAACAGGGCTACAGGTAAGAAGATGCATAAACAGGCTACACTGCTGCACACACAGGCTGGGATTCTGGACCAGGCTTGAGATCCTACCTACGTGGAACCCAGAGAAAAGTGTGCGTGATGGTGTGGGACAGAAGGCATCGCTCCCCATTCCAAGACAGCAAAGGTGCACAGACCCATAATTACAAACTGATTTAACTGGCCAGAGACCAACTGTGAACTTTCTCTTCTCTCCTGTGCCTCTCCCAGACCAAGCACATGCCCCCTACGTTTGAAAATACTCACTGATGGATTCAGACTAGCAAACAACTATATCAGAAGCACAAATCTCTCCACGGTGGTAGAACTCCATGGTATACCTCTGTGACCCCTTGATTATACAGGCAGTCCTTGACTTAAGACGTTTCGAATTACAACGAACGGCACTTACGACGTTTATAAATTGACATCCCGTTTCAACTTTCTGACGTCACTTTCGACTTTACGACACTTGATCTGACACCGCGCCACACCTGCGAACAAGTTCGCTATGTTGTCCATCTCCCTGGAGAACATCTGTCCAAACTTCCTTGGACACTTTCTTTAAGAAAGCAGACAAGGCTCCAGAAAAACCTGCAGACAAGACTCTTGAAAAAGACTCCAGACAAGAACCCTTCAAAAGGTCCAACCAAGAGCTCTTCAAGAAGTCCAGCAAAGTCACCTCAAAAAAGTCCTTCCAAATCATTATGATTGCTATTTACAATATAAAATATATTAATGTAGCTACATTACTTGTCTATAATTGATTGAGTACAAAATTCTGGGTTATTTTTGGTGAAAATAGGGTATTGGGCCTTAGTTCAGGAACCAACCCCCCATTTATAACATTGTTCCAATGGGAAAATCAGTTCCGAGTTACGACGTTTCAACTTGACGCGGTTTTCAGAAACAAATTGTGCTGTAAGTCCAAGAACTGCCTATATGGATGGGAAACTTGGAACATAGAGAGAACACGTAATCTCACACCCACACATCCCCACACACTATTCCCCTGGTTTATCAGGTTTTTAGTTTTGGTGCACCATGTAACTCTCCAGGCTTTAGTGACCCCTTCACCAGGTGTCCTGCACCCTTAGGCACTGAAACACCTTTGCAAATGTGACCTTAGGAATATGTGACCTCAAAAGTAGATTTGACAGATGTTCAGAAGACCATCTCATGGAGAGGCAAACCCAGTTAACTGCTTGTTTGCCAGTTCCCAGAAGGTGTTCCACAAAGTTATTTAAACAAAAAGGGAAATGGATTGAAATGCATTTATATAACGTTAACCTCTGAACTCACTATGGCAGGAAGAAAGCATCTCTAGCATAAGTCGATCAGATGGCAGCATGAACACAGGCAGCCTTTACAGCAGGGGTGGGCAAAAACATGTCCCACGGGCTGTATCTAGTAGAGGTGCACCAATACATCGGTCCGATATTGGATCGGTACCAATATAAAGAAAATTATCTATACTGGATATTGGCCTTAAGTGGCCGATAATTGGGCCAATAAATGCCCATACTGCAGGCAGTCACAGCGCAGCACGTAGGCAGTGAAAAGACAGCCTGCAGTGTAGAGAGCTGGTAAGATTCATAGATGCTAGGGTCAGAAGGGACCTCAATAGATCATTGAGTCCGACCCCCTGCATAGGCAGGAAAGAGT